TTACAGCCCCAGTTCTATCTCACCCAGATCCTTCCAGACAGTTCATTGTTGAAGTCGATGCCTCTGATTCCGGAGTGGGTGCTGTCCTTTCCCAGCGTTGTCCCAAAGATGAAAAGGTACATCCCTGTGCTTATTTCTCACGCAGGTTGACATCCGCTGAGGCCAATTATGATGTTGGTAACCGGGAACTACTGGCTGTTGTCTTGGCCCTGCAAGAATGGCGCCACTGGTTGGAAGGAGCTGAGCATCCGTTCATCGTGTGGACTGACCACAAGAATCTTTCCTACCTCCATTCAGCCAAAAGACTGAACTCCCGCCAGGCAAGATGGGCGCTGTTTTTGGGGAGGTTTAATTTTGTTTTGACCTTTCGTCCAGGGTCCCGTAATATAAAACCTGATGCTCTGTCCCGTCAGTCCATTCAGGGGGAGCTGGATTCTCAACCGGGTCCCGTCCTTCCTCCCTCTTGTCTCAATATTAGTGCTGACAATGAAGCTAAGTCCTGTGCTTCGGCCTTGCTCCTTGGTGCTGTGGGGTGGGAAATTGAGAGGGTAGTGAAGGCGGCCCAGCGCACCAGTCCTGACCCTGGTAGTGGCCCTCCCAATCGCTTATTTGTACCAGATTCTGTTCGCTCCCAGGTGCTCCAGTGGGGGCACTCATCTAAATTAACCTGTCATCCTGGGAGTCATCGGACGCTGGCATTCCTCAGACAGAGATTTTGGTGGCCCTCTATGTCTCGTGACACACGTGCATTTGTTTCTGCTTGTACCGTTTGTAACCGCAGCAAGTCCAGTCATCGGCCCTCTGCCGGTCTCCTCCGTCCACTACCTATCCCCAGCCGGCCTTGGTCACATATTGCGGTGGATTTTGTCACTGGCCTCCCCACATCAGACGGTAATACCACTATTCTGACTATTGTGGATCATTTTTCTAAGGCTGTGCATTTTCTTCCCCTACCCAAATTACCTTCGTCGTTGGAAACTGCTAAGATACTGGTGCAGCATGTGTTTCGTCTTCATGGTATCCCCATGGACATAGTCTCTGACCGGGGACCTCAGTTTTCCTCCCAGGTCTGGAAGGCTTTTTGTCAATCCCTCGGGGCTTCGGTCAGCCTTTCCTCTGGTTATCACCCTCAATCCAACGGGCAGACGGAAAGGGCTAACCAGGACCTGGAATCTGCGTTGCGATGTGTGACTGCCCGAAATCCAACTACTTGGAGCTCGTTTTTGCCCTGGGTGGAGTACGCCCATAACTCCTTGGTGACGTCTGCCACGGGTATGTCCCCTTTTATGGTCTCCTTGGGTTTTCAGCCCCCTCTTTTCCCTGACCAGGAGACTGAAGTTGCCGTGCCCTCGGTTCAGTTCCATCTGCGTCGCTGCCGCAGGATCTGGAGGGTGACCAGGGCGGCTCTCCGACGCACAGGTATCCGCAATCAGGAGATTGCCAACCGCCACCGTGTGGCTTCGCCTTCCTACCAGCCGGGACAGAAAGTGTGGCTCTCCTCTAAGGATCTACCCCTTCAGGTCGAGTCCCGCAAGTTGGCACCTAAGTTTGTAGGCCCCTTCACCATTGATAAGATTATCAATCCCTCAGTTGTGCGTCTAAACTTGCCGAAGTCTATGAACATTCACCCCTCTTTCCATGTATCCCTGTTGAGGCCCGTAGTTTCTAGTCCTCTCTGCCCTCCGGCCGATCCCCCTCCTCCCGCCCGTGTCATTGACGACCACCCCGCCTTCACTGTCCGGCGTGTCCTGGATGTCCGGCGTCGTGGGAGGGGCCACCAGTATCTTGTGGACTGGGAGGGGTATGGTCCAGAGGAGAGGTCCTGGGTGCCTCGGCATTTCATCCTGGATGCGGCTCTCCTCCGGGATTTTTATTCGTCGTTCCCTGACAAGCCTGGCCGGACGTCGGGTGACGTCTCCTAGGGGGGGGGTACTGTCACGCCCCCATCTGTCACTAGTCTTCACAGCCTCTTGCTCCTCCCTGTGTGTGTGTGTGTGTGTGTGCGTGTGGACCTGGGTGGAGTCTGGAGCTGCTCACCTGCTCTCACTTCAACAATCAAGCAGCCTACATCCAGCCAGCTCTCCAGACAGACTCTGCCAGATTGTTTCGTCTCAATCACGGTGATTTTTCAGTCGGCTACTTTTGATATACTGTTGATACTACCCCTTTTTGTATACTCACCTTTTTGTCTCCTGTGTTCCTAGCTCCTGGGCTAGGACTAGTAACCTTGCCTGCAAGCTGAATTCTCGCGGTATTTGTGAGTTCACAAACACTCGAGAATACATCTTGTACCGCTCCCGCTTACACTTTTCGAGTCGAACCACTGGGTGTGCGAGCCAATCACGCGCCAGTCTGGGGGTTTAGGGCGGGATATCCGGGTTTGACGAAAGCAAGAAGTGCCGGGCCGAAGCAAAACAAACATGGCTACGCAGGAGGACGGACGCGTAGCTGAGGCTATCAAGTCAGTTTTAGCAGAATCTCCAATTTCTTTTTTGAAAGATGAACAGCGAGAGGCGCTTTGTGCATTTCTGGACGGCAACCTTGGTAGGCGGGCACACAGCGTCACTTCGCCCAATCAGCTTGAAGTATTCTGCTGCTTATCCCTCCTTTCCCCGAAAGGATTCTCCGGGAGAAATCCCAGATTGATATCGTGGAGAACGCGTTAGAGTTCTACACAATCATCAATCTGGCTCTTGCCAGGTTATAGGACTAGTGGCAGCCCTTCCTAATCACCTCCGGAACAACGCAATAAACATTTCATTTTTGTATTTCTGTTTTAGTCTGTTTATTGGGTCCTATCGCCAAGCCGTAACAGCCACCTTTTGCTGCAATTACAGCTGCAAGTCGCTTGGGGTATGTCTCAATCAGTTTTGCACATCGTGAGACTGGAATTCTTTCCCATTCTTTCTTGCAAAACAGCTGGAGCTCAGTGAGGTTGGATGGAGAGCGTTTGTGAACAGCAGTCTTTAGCTCTTTCCACAGATTCTCGATTGGATTCAGGTCTGGACTTTGACTTGGCCATTCTAACACCTGGATACGTCTATTTGTGAACCATTCCATTGTAGATTTGGCTTTATGTTTTGGATCATTGTCCTGTTGGAAGATAAATCTCCGTCCCAGTCTCAGGTCTTTTGCAGACTCCAACAGGTTTTATTCCAGAATGGTCCTGTATTTGGCTCCATCCATCTTCCCATCAATTTTAGCCATCTTCCCTGTCCCTGCTGAAGAAAAGCAGGCCCAAACCATGATGCTGCCACCACCATGTTTGACAGTGGGGATGGTGTGTTCAGGGTGATAAGCTGTGTTGCTTTTACGCCAAACATATCGTTTTGCATTGTGGCCAAAAAGTTCGATTTTGGTTTCATCTGACAAGAGCACCTTCTTCCACATGTTTGGTGTGTCTCCCAGGTGGCTTGTGGCAAACTTTAAACAAGACTTTTTATGGATATCTTTGAGAAATGGATTTCTTCTTGCCACTCTTCCATAAAGGCCAGATTTGTGCAGTGCACGACTGATTGTTGTCCTATGGACAGACTCTCCCACCTCAGCTGTAGTTATCTGCAGTTCATCCAGAGTGATCATGGGCCTCTTGGCTGCATCTCTGATCAGTCTTCTCCTTGTTTGAGATGAAAGTTTGGAGGGACAGCCGGGTCTTGGTAGATTTGCAGTGGTCTGATACTCCTTCCATTTCAATATAATTGCTTGCACAGTGCTACTTGAGATGTTTAAAGCTTGGGAAATCTTTTTGTATCCAAATCCGGCTTTAAACTTCTCCACAACAGTATCTCGGACCTGCCTGGTGTGTTCCTTTGTCTTCATGGTTGTCTCTGCGCTTTAAACAGAATCCTGAGACAATCGAAGAGCAGGTGCATTTATACAGAGACTTGATTACACACAGGTGCATTCTATTTATCATCATCAGTCATTTAGGACAACATTGGATCATTCAAAGATCCTCACTGAACTTCTGGACTGAGTTTGCTTCACTGAAAGTAAAGGGGCCGAATAATATTGCATGACCAACTTTTCAGTTTTTTATTTGTTAAAAAAGTTTAAATTATCCAATAAATTTCGTTCCACTTCACGATTGTTGAAATGTTGAAAGGTTCAAGGGGGCCGAATACTTTCGCAAGACACTGTATCATCATCACCGGGAGTCACACTGCTTTAGAAAGGACAATTTTGACCTGTCTTTTGATTTGACTTGCACTACTATGAAATCACCAGGGTTTGTGTGTCTGCATGTTTGATAGTTTGCAGATTTTATAAAATGGGAACAAATGGGGACAATTTGGAGAAGGATGCGTATAACTGTCTGAATCCGCAATGGTTTAAAAATAACTCTTGGTGAAAGTCTGTGCTCTATTAGTGCTTTTCTAGTTAACCATGTAACTGTTGAATTCAAGCCAAATGAGACAAGATTACTCACCTCTGATCCTGAGCCTGGTTCCGTTCCCAAACAGGACTTGTCCACAGGCGGCCACTGCGCAGTAGTACGTCCCAGTTTGCTCTGAGCTCATGTTATGAATGTGGAGGTTGTAGAAGCAGGGGTTTGTTGGACTGTCCGTGCTTTTCTCGCACTGATCACTGCTATTCCCACGGCTGTAGATAACTCCTGCTGTGGATTCTTCAGACTTCTTGAACCAGTGAACGCTGTGTGCTCCATTACAGCTCCCAGTCTGGACGCTACAGTTTAAACTCACAGATTCTCCTCGATCTATGTCCTCATTTTCTGACTGCTGGATCTTAAATGTCAGGTTCTGTCTCATTACAACAACGATAATTTTTTCTGTAATACTGAGAATGTTTAGGTAAAATTTCATGCAAAAGGTAAATCCCTGAATCAGACGTTTGGACACGTTTACACGGTCAAAATGCTCGTGTAGAGTTCTCAGTGCGAATCGTCGGCTGCTGTGGAATTCTCCAAACACAGTTGGGGTGCTCTGATATCTGCGCAAAGACGAATCACAAACTGACTTTTTGCCAAACTTTGCTTGTACCAATAATATGTTTCTCTAAACTCCACATCTTTGTTGAAACAGGGCAGAGTGATGTTGTGTCCAGGAGCAGCGAAGAGGAAATTATTTATTTCTTGAAGATTCACTTGATCTGAAGATAACAACAACCACAACAAAGTCTGATTTTATGTCATTTCAGCAGATGATAATGTTCATAATTCTAAAGTAACTCACCGTTACTGGCCAACACTAGACTGAAGACCAACATGAGACTGAAGACCAGCAGAACTCTGAACGGTCGTCCCAAGTTGTGATGCAGGTGCAGACTGGAAATGGTTGATACCGCCTCTGCTCTTTACAGCCAAGCTCGCATCTGATTGGCCGACAGAAGGACAGGATTTTATTTGCTGCATTTTAATCTACAGCACAATCTCACGTTGTTGTATTAATACCATCACATGCGGCTCTGAAACATTCAGGAGAAAATAAGTTGTGAGATCTATGAGATATTGTTGTGCTGCTCAAGTCCAGAGAGAGAGAGAGATTGACTCAATGAGTTTCTCCTGAGGTTTATCTGTTCTGACTGACGAGGTGGTGATGGGGAGGAGGAGGGTTACTGCACAATATGAAAGCAGGGCAGTGCTTAAATATTTCCAGGTGACATATTGGCAAACTGCTGATGCAGCAGCAGAGGGAGGACTGAGAGCAGTGAGCTTGTGCACAGAGAGAGATTCAGTCTGAACCCTCAAGGCACCAAAATACTCAAGCAACAGCACTTTGAATCAGTGCAGATATCACAGAGAAGCAAGTGAGTCCAAGCACTAAGCACAGACTGTAGACCCTGGGTCCAGTGTCTACATGAACTGTGTTTCAAGGGTCGAGGTACATCTGGAAATAAGGAGGCTCTCATTTTGCAGAGAAAAAGTCTGGAAGCAGCATCAGCTCTGCCTCTGCTACTTGTGCCTCCCCATAATCACAGGGACAGTATGTGATGGAGAAGCCTTGGTCTTGTGTTTGTTAGACAACAGAGAGCTCGGGGCCAACGTAGGAGCAGGGACAGTCTGCTCACAGCAGGGGCAGGAAGGATTTGCTTTTACTATTTCCATGAACATTTGGTATGGTGCAATGTGAGTTCTGTTTGTGTTTGTGTCCTAGTGATCCGTAGGTCTGTAAGCTTGAAAAACCAAAAACATTTCATGAAAATTCTAAAGTCATAAATGCCACCATCATATGACATCAGAATCAGAATCATTTTTATTGCCACGTAAGTAACAGGAAGTCACAGACCTGGAAATTGCTTTGGCTCAGTGCAACAGTCAGAAAGAGATAATAAAAATAAAGAATAAAAAACACTTCTAAGGAATAAATTAAAATTTAAAATAGAGCTACATTTTAAATTTTAATTCATTCCTTAGAAGTGTTTTTTTTAAAAATAGAGCTACAATCTCTCAGCTGGCCTGGGAACGCCTTGGGGTCCCCCCGGACGAGCTGGAGGAAGTGTGTGTGGATAGGGAAGTCTGGGCGTCTCTGCTTAGACTGCTGCCCCCGCGACCCGGCAACGGATAAAGCGGAAGAAAATGGATGGATGGATGGATGGAAAATAGAGCTACAGTTACTATTTACAATATACAAGTGCACATGGTGCACACAATGTGAGGTAACAGCAGTACAGTGAAGTAAAGTGACGTATGATGGGCAGTAAAGTGACTTTATAAAGGGCGGGGGGACAGGTTATGAAGTGTTCAAGAGTCCAACAGCAGAGGGGAAGAAACTGTTCTTGTGGCGGGAGGTTCTAGTCCTGATGGACCGCAGTCTCCTGCCTGAGGGGAGTGGTTGGAATAGTCCATGTGCAGGGTGAGAAAGGGTCGGCTGTGATACGACCAGCCCAGCCTCGAGCTCGGGCGACGTATACATAGTTCCCACATGACGTCACTACATACGGGGATTTGCCGACCCGGCGCCATTTGTGTTGGCATGCTGTGGGCAAAACAATAGAAAAAGAAGCTGAAACGTGTTAATGTCGTGATAAAGTTGAAAATGGTCATCTCCTGCTGGGTCAATGGATGTTCAAATCGTGCCGGAGGTTCCGTTAAACTTGGATTTTACAGTATACCCATCATTAGACTTCATGAATGTGAGAAGACTAAGCTTTTGTCAGAACAACCACGGAGGTTATGGCTTGCGAAGATAAACAGGCAAGAAACTCCCTCAAAACACGCAAGAATATGCTCGGAGCACTTTGTGTCAGGTGCGTATCGTATCTTATAATGTGTTGACAGACGTAATTTACTCAGTACTAACTAGCTCTCGAGGGCAACGTAAATGTATTAAATAGATAATAATAGTTCTATGGTGGGCTAAAACAATGTTCACAAACAGCATTGCTTCTGTAAAAAGATCTGTGTCATAAAATAAACTGCTCTTCACGCCTGGAAAAATCAGTTGCCCACCATTCACCAAAACATACGGTCAAAAACGCGGAAATAAACAATAACAGCAATCCAGAGTGTCCGTGTGGCATTAGCAAAGGAAGGTTTCTCACCCATCATCTGTACTTCTTAGCAAGTTTTCCCGACGTTTCGTCCTCAACCTGGGGACTTCTTCAGGGAATGAATTCTCGGACCGCGCGTTGGAGATTTATAACCTATGGGTGTGGTTAGCCACACCCTAATCCTGATACTAACTCATAAACAATCTACGGTCTGCTTGATGTAGAAGGGAGCAGGTCTAACGACCCTGCTGAGGCTAACGACCCTAACTCCTTAGCATGTCACAGACCTATTGTCTGCTGGGATGCTCAAGTGGAGTGCAGGTCTCACCCCTCCTAACTCATTAGCATGTCACTGACCTTGTCCCAAGTTAGGGCGTTGTTTTTAGGATGTCGTCATAGATGCGAGGCAAAACAAATCTTAACCCTCCTCCTCTGTTAAGAGAAGGTTTTTGTTTCCTCACAAAAATGGCTTCTTTCACCCCTCTCTCAAACCAATTCTTCTCCCGAGCCAGAATTTTAACCTCTGTGTCATCCACCGTGTGGTTGGAGGCCTTGAGGTGGAGATGAACAGCCGACTGTGGCCCACTAGAGTTTTCTCTACGATGTTGGTAAAGTCGTTTCTGTAGAGTTTGTTTGGTTTCTCCAATATAGTGGTCAGTGCACTCCTCTTCACTACATTTAATTGAATACACCACATTGCTCTGTTTGTGTCTGGGTGTTTTGGCATTAGCATTAGCATTAATTAGCATTAGCATTAATTAAATTAATTGTTATAATAATTAAAATAATTAAATGGAGCTCCAACTGGTATTAAATCTAAAGTTTTTGAGAAATGTTTGCATTGCTTGTTAATTTTTGCTGCATAATTTGATCAAATATGTAAAACATGTCCGTAGCACGTTAAACTGTGGTGCCATTGTATTAATATACAATTATTTGCTCAAAAGTTGCCCTTTTTTTCCAATTTGCGTTTGAATATCTACATTTATTCTCATTCTTCTGTTTAATGGAATGCACAAACACAGCAGCGTGCCATCAAAGATGGCGTCTCCGAGGAGGTCATGTGACATTCATTGGTCTGTGGGAACTATGTATAGGTCCTGCAGCGATGGAAGGCTGCGGCCAATCACTTCCTCTGCAGAGCGCACAATGCGCTGTAGTCTCTGTTTGTCCCTGACTGTGGCTCCAGCGAACCACACGGTGACGGAGGAGGTGAGGATGGACTCGATGATGGCCGTGTAGAACTGCACCAACATCTGTGCAGGCAGCTTGGCTTTCCTGAGCTGCCGCAGGAAGTACATCCTCTGCTGGGCCTTCTTGATGAGGGAGCTGATGGTCGGCTCCCACTTGAGGTCCTGGGTGATGGTGGTGCCCAGGAAACGGAGGGACTCCACAGAGGTGATGGGGGAGTCCATCACGGAGGGTGGGGGCGGGGGGACAGTGCTCCTCCTGAAGTCCACAATCATCTCCACTGTCTTCTGGGCGTTCAGCTCCAGGTTGTTACCACTGCACCAGGAAACCAGCCGGTCCACCTCCCTCCTGTAGGCGGACTCATCGTTGTTGGAGATGAGTCCAATGAGGGTGGTGTCGTCCGCGAACTTGATCAGCTTCACGGAGTCGTGGCTGGAGGTGCAGTGGTTGGTGTACAGGGAGAAGAGCAGGGGAGAAAGAACACAGCCCTGTGGGGCTCCTGTATTTATAATCCGAGAGTCCGAGACATTCTTCCCCAGACGCACTCGCTGCTTCCTGTCCGTCAGGAAGTCAGTGATCCACCTGCAGGTGGAATCGGGCACGTTGAGCTGGGAGAGCTTGTCCTGGAGCAGGGATGGCAGGATTGTGTTGAAGGCAGAGCTGAAGTCCACGAACAGGACCCTGGCGTAGGTCCCCGGGGAGTCCAGGTGCTGTAGGATGGGGTGGAGGGCCAGGTTGATAGCGTTGTCTACAGATCTGTTGGCTCTGTAGACGAACTGCAGGGGGTCAGGTGAGGGACTTGAGATGGGAGAGGACCAGGCGTTCAAATGACTTCATGACGACAGACGTAAGTGCTACAGGTCTGTAGTCGTTAAGTCCTGTGATCCTGGGCTTCTTTGGGATGGGGACAATGATGGAGGATTTGAAGCAGGCCGGGACATGGCAGGACTGCAGAGAGGTGTTGAAAATGTCAGTGAACACAGGAGTAAGCTCACTGGCGCAGTGTCTCAGAGTGGCCGGAGACACGTGGTCCGGGCCAGGAGCTTTGCGGGGGTGCAGCCTCAAGAAGAGTTGTTTAATGTCTTTAGGGGCTATTGTCAGGCTGGGGGCAGGGCTGATGGGTGGGTCGTTAGAGTAGTGGGGCGTGGGGGAGGGAGAGGTGTCAGGGGCAGCATCAAAGCGACTGAAAAATAAGTTCAGTTCGTCAGCTAGCTTGTGGTCGTCAGCACAGGGGGGGGCTTTGGGCTTGTAGTTGGTGATCTCCCGTAGGCCCTTCCAGACAGAAGCAGTATCGTTGTTACCAAACTGCTCCAGCAGTTGTTCTCTGTGCCGGGACTTGGCTGCTTTCAGTTCTTTCCTGAACTGATATTTAGCCGCCTTGTAGCCGCTGCGGTCCCCCTCCCTGAAAGCAGACTCCTTTGCTTTTCTGAGCTGCCGGAGTTTAGCAGTGAACCAGGGTTTGTCGTTGTTATAGATGACCCTGGTCCTTGTTGGAATGATGCTATCCTCACAGAAGTGAATGTATGACGTCACAGTGTCCGTGTATTCATCCAAACTATCTGTGGCAGCTCTGAAAAGGTCCCAGT